GGCTCAGAGAGCACGTGGGAGCCAAGATAGTGGAGGGGAGCGAAGATACTGATCAGATGTTCAAGACGATAAATGTTGGCATACTGGACAGGAGTTCAAGGCAAAGATTGCAGGCAGCAGTAAGGGGAAAAATAGACCACCATTGCACTACAAAGAAAAGTAAATTAAAACAAACCTGAACTTATGAATAAAGGGAGGGAAATCGAAATCAAAGAATTAGAGCCTGTAAACGAAAGCATGAAAAGCAAAAGCAAAACTGGACTTGTGCGAATGGAAATTATCTTAACGAAAATCCGTCTTTTCAGTAAGCGATTTCCGTATTTGTGAAGCTTATGCTTAGATGAAGCTGAGGGCGAATAAATTCGATTACATTTGCACAAAAATTGCACACAGTTCCATTATGTTGCCTCCGGCAGCCCGCAATTGTGCAAAGCGGTTACATCTCTGTTTTTATGCGTTTTTGCTGTGCAGCGCTAAAGCGCTGCAACAGGCAGCAAAGACGGATATTGCAGCGAACCTGTCAGTGTGTGTTTGTGTGTGTGCGTGCGTGCGTGTGTGTGCGTGTGTGTGTATGTATGTGTGTGTATGTGTGTGTGTTCGTCTGTCCGGGTATTTCAACTCGCAACCACGCAAGCTTTGAAGCTGAAATTTTGCTGTTGTGTTCTCCAGCCAAGTGCCACCCCAGGAGCACGATATCAACCCTCATGCACGTCTGGGCCCCGCGTGGGAGCACGTGGAAATTTTGGCGGAAAAATTGCTAATTCGAGAACGAGGAAAGCTAGAAAGCTGAAACCTTGGGGGATGTTCCCTACCCGTGTGTGGCAAAAAGATTTCAAATTCAGCTTCTTAGGATCGCCCGGGGCTCAAGTATGGGCGCGTGGAGGTTTTGGCACGAGAATCACAAACCCAGGAACGAAAAAAGCAAGAAAGCTGAAGCTTTAGGGGGATGTTTCTTACTCATGTACGAGCAAAATCAGGTGTTTAGAAGCGTCCGGGGCTCACATGCGGGCACGTGGAAATCTTGGCGCGGAAATCACTAGCCCGGGAACGAAAAAAGTTAGAAAGCTGAAATTTTACGGGAATGTTCCCTACTCATGTACAACCAAAAAAATCAGTTGCTTGGAAACGCCCGAGACCCACTTACGCCACATGTGAAAGTTTTGGCGCGAAAATTACTAACCCGGAGACGGGAAAAGCTAGAAATCTAAAACTTTAAGGAAATGTTCTCTACTCACGTACGAGCAAAATCAGGTGTTTAGGAGTGCCTGAGCCCACGTACGAGCGCGTGGAAATTCTGGCGCGTCAATTGCTAACTTCGGAACGGGAAAAACTAGAAAGCTGGAATTTTCGGGGAATGTTTCATACTAATGTATGGCCAAAATCAGGTGTTTAGAGGCAGCTCGGGCCCACGTAGGGGCACGTGGAGATTTTGGCGCGAAAATCATTAACCCGAGAGCGAAAAAAGCTGAAGCTTTAGGGTAATGTTCCCTGCTCATGTGTAACCAAAAGATTTCGAATTCAGCTCCTTAAAACCGTCCGGTACTCGCGTACGGACACGTGAAAATTTTGATGGGAAAACTTCTAACTCGGGAACGGGAAAAGCTGAAGGCTTTAATTTTAAGGGAATGTTTCTTGCTCGTGTGAGACTAAAAGATTTCAAATTTAACTCTTCTAGTGCGGCTTTTTTTGCGAACCAGCAGCTCTGCATTTGTCGGGTCACTGAAGTTGACATCTACAACTGACATACCACATAGTTACACAATTAAATTCTCGAACTTCGACGGCCAGTATGTCACAGGGTTAGCTATTGTGATTCTTGCCATTTTGCTAAGGCACGGAAAGTGCAAAAACGCATAGTCGCACCGGCCCGCCTGGTGCGTTCCAACCTGGGTTTTTCGCTTTCAAAACCTCACAGAAGCAAAGACTGACTTCATCCCCATGCACCCAGTCTACCACTTTTTTGTTCACTCATATCCTGCAATGGAAATTATTCGCTCTTATGCTTAGCATCAGCTTCTTTAATAGGAAAGTCCTCTACTGACGACGGGTTTTTGTGGAACAGTTTCCACCAGCAAAATCGCAGTTTTTTGCTTTTGTTCGTAAAGTCAGATTTGCTTCAGTTCCCTTTTTTTTTTTGTGGCGTTTTTGTATTCTTTTTACTACTCTTTTCAGTTCTTGTCTCGAGCTCCTGATTTGTATCCTTGTTCACCTTCTTTACTGTGCCCCCCAATCCTGCCTGCAAAGTAACATCTAGGCTCCTCTTCATTGCCGCTATAAAAGCACTGTGCAAGCAACCAGTATTTCACCGTTTCTTTGCCGCAGATATCCACGGCAAGAACTAGGAGCACACTTCTCCATCCTTTTCATTCATCACTCCTCCCTCTCTCCCCTTCAAACGTACATGGTCTAGGATCGGCGCCATTTGGTTATTTAGTCCACCTATTCCAAGCACCCCTTCCTCTGCTTCGAACAAAGCCCGCAACATCCCCCTTCTCCCCCACTTCCATTTGCCACATTCACACTGCCGCCATCCGCCGTGGGCCGGCCCTACAAGCCGTCGCAAGGAAACGAGGGAAAATTTCTTGTATGACGTCAGCCAAGCCAAGCCGAGTTGTTGTAATTGCCTCACCCACTCCCCCCCCCCCCCCCCCCCCCCCCCCCCCCCCCCCCCCCTCCCTTCCCCCCCCCCCCCCCCCCCCCC